AGGCTTTTTAATCCTCAAGTTTTACCATTTCTCCAAACACACACATTTGCCTACGAATGGAAATTACATACTTTCACAGCATTTCAAGAATTCTCTTTCCATATCTCAGACCATTCATTTTGCTTGTATATCTTTTGCCAGAATAATGGCAGAACATAAAGTACATAATATGTGAACACATCAATTATGTTACATATTCACATCATAATTATTTTGAAACAAATATAATTCTTTGGCTCAGAACTGGCATAGCTTTAGTCAATGTGCACAGGAACTATTTATTTAAATGCTTTGACTGATGTAAGAGGTGACCACCCTCTTGATAGGCAATAGCTTAAGAAACTGTAGATAAAAATCTCTTTACGCTCTTTGACTGAAAATAGCCCTTGGTCTATAGAATCATGAGAAAACAATCCAAATACATTTCCACATAATGCCAATAACTGGGGAAAAAAACAGCATGCTTTCTATATTTATCAGTTATTCTTAATAATTACTATTAAAACCTCTGCTAAGGTAAGTTGGTACTTCTATCATTCACACAAAATCTGAATTTGTATATACGCTGAGTAGCTTATTTCTGGTTTATGACATCCACAACAGTCACCTCTCAGTTATGATTACTAACAAATCCTCCATATTTAGCCAACATATGAGATAGGTTAAACAACACACTTGGCTTCCCAGTTGAGTTTGCTTGGCTTTCTAGTTGTGGTGTTTTTGTTGGTTTATTTGTTCTGTCTTGTTTTGCCTTTTTATGATTTTGTCTTTTGGAGACTGGCTATTGAACAGGAGAAAATGGGGTTAGGAATCTGAGTAAAGCCAGCCTCGGGTTTGAAACCAACTATAGATAAGCTAAAAACAGATCATTTGCAGGGGAGGAAGCAAGAGTTGACCATCTGCAAATCAGCTACCAAAAACATTTAGCTCCTGGGATTCTGAACACAAATTCTCCTTCTAAGACACCAAGACAACAAACGGATCAAAAACTGAACCTTAGGTCAGCAACCCCACAGCCAATGAATTTGGGAACATGCTTTCCAGATGACAGCAAGACTCCACATATACATTTTTTGTCTTAAACATCTCTTCTCTTCCCACAGACCTGAGAAGGGGATGCTTGACTCTCTTAGAGCTACTGTTCATCACATATGTGCCATGTTTTTTCAAAGCCACCAACTTATGCCCTGGAATTAATGTTTTTAGCTATAAATAAGGTGACCATATTTCTAAACCTCAAATTGAGCCATATTGGCATACTTTTACAAAGAAGATACTGTGAGAAATAGGGACTGCTATGGAAACAAAACCAAGCCAGAAATAAAACTCATATCGCAGTCCTCATCTTAATTTACTTTTCAGAAGAACACAGTCCCATTTACTGCAAAAATAGCTCTGCTTCCTTCAGCCTTGAACACAAACCATACTCAATCAACCTTCTTTCACAAAGAAATACTGATTTCCATACTAGAATACAGGATTGTCTTCTAACCTGTAGCTACGCTGGTCTGGAAAATCTTGTGCTTAGAGTCAAATTTCTTTTCAGGCAGGAAAACCAAGAGGTACCTGGCATCCACATCAAATGTCCCTTGCAGAATTCAGAATGACTTTTGGGTCAAGGAGATTTCCTGGAACAGGCCCCTTTGTCACTGAATGACACCCCGTAATCATTCTAAACTGTATCAGTAAAAAAAAGTAAAAAAAAAAAAAAAAAAAAAACATAAAGAGGATGTTACACTCTGCTCCCTGGACGTGAGTACATCACTACAGGTTCCCTTAAAAATATAAACTAGATCTACCTGTAGTTCCCACTTGACCTAGGACTAGCCACAAAAGATGCATCAGAATCCTGAAAACGAACAACAGTGGGGAACACCATTTCTGTTTGGAGGTGCGAGTGTTACTGTTCATGAGTCTAATGCAATTAGAAATAATTTTCCATTGGGTAATGTTGACTTAAAAAATGGGAAAATATATATTTTAGTGCACAGTATTTTCCTCAGGTGTTTCCTATTCATATACTGGGTTCTAGTTCAATGCAGGCTGAATGAAAAGATTTCCACAAAGCTTCAGGGATCCTATTTAAAACAAATTTGACAAGGAAAGCAGTAGCACTTGTAAAAATACTACAAGTGTCTCGGCACAAAATAAAGTAAGTTCCCCGGGATAGGTTGAAACAGAGTTTACTGACAAGACTGCACAATACCAAAGCAAGACATCAAAGTGTTTACTTACCAACTTTCACCAATGCATTCGGCTGGAGACTGAGGAGTTATGTTTCATTAAATGAATCCCTTCCCTTTAGAACAAACAGCTTCAAAATGCATCCTATTCATTCAGCTTAGTGCATGTTCTAAAAAAACTCAAACTCCCGGTCCTGCCAGGTTAGACGGTGAGATTGTTAAACTACCTGTCTCTTATTACTTAACTACAAAATTGAAGCTAGTACAGCTGGTGAGGTACCGAGGAAACATCAGGCTATCCTAATACTTTCTTCAACTCCACAGTGGAGTTTTGGTGCTGCAAGGAAACAGGTGAGAATGTAGCCCAATATCCTGGTTCTACACTAAAAAAATAAAAATCCTGATAATCAAGGAGATGACATGATTTACCCACATGGAACAAGCCCGCTCTCTTGGCTCCCTAGACCAGTGTCAGCCCTCTAGCACCCACCGGCTCCCTTTTACAGAAATTTTACAAATATATTTATTTTCCCACTCTTCCCCACAACTGTTACAGGTAACTGTTTCCTTGCCAAGTGTTTGCAAGAGAAAACAATACATCCACCTTGAAAAGATCCTGATTAGAATGACCCTCAAACAGTGTGCTTTTGGTCAGATTTGTTATTATCTGAAAGGCAACAAAACAATGCCAGATCCCTGGAATTCAGACCTCTATAGGGAGTCACTTCTCTTTTATCTTATAACCAAATATGTCCGGTGGTCTCTAAGAAGACGCAGTTGCCTAAATTAGTTACAGATGGCCCCTGGAAGCACATACTTATGTATGAAATTTTCACAAATGGTTCTATAGCCCTCTACCTAGCTCTGTCTTGGAAAAATGCTATAAATCCACAGCTGCCCTGGACGTCCCACTGTACAAGTTCTCTGTAAGAGAGGCGTATCATAAAGAAGTGTCCCTATACACATCTTAAGGGCTTAAAAGCGTCTTTCTCAGCCTGGGATCATGATCCCAACACCCCCAAATAAATGCATTTTACGGGGGGAAAATATGCACTTAGAGACAATCTACTAATACTTGTTTTAAAAGTTCATGACGTCACACTTATTGACTTTCTTACCCTAAGAAAAACTTGTTAAATAAAGGCAAGCCCTAGGAGGTCCAAACTGCATTTGCTGGATTCTCATAATTATGAATACAACATGTATCATCAATTCAATGATATCTATATATATATATATATAACTTTCCAGTTTTTAAAAAAGAGGTATCATAGAAACAGTAAAATACAGTACATTTTCCTTTCCAAACATAGCCAAATGATTGCTATTGCTATTATAGAAAGTTCAATAAACCCCTTCTGCTAGAAAACCCTTAAATTCTATTAAGATAGAATCTTACTTAGCTGGCTATATCATAAGATACATGGTACCTTGTTCAGGGTCAACTTTTTACACCATGACATACTCAGTCTACTGATGAGAGACTATCTTGTGTCTGTACATCAACGTCTTGTAAGGACCTCAAAGTTAAAGAAATTACCCATCACTCTTTACAGCATCTGACTAAGTAGATGTATGCTCATGGCTTCTTAATTCCTTTTTCTCTCAGAGAAAGATTAGACCATTAAGACATAATGTCAGGCATTTTTATGGAACTCAACATTTCAGAGTTTTTGCATATTCTCCTTTGCTTTCCATGACTCTGTAAAGTAACATACTTTCTGTGCTGGCTTTTTTACTAATGAAGAAATGTGGATACAGAGGTGTTAACGTGACTTTTCTAAAGAAATGGTGACCAGCCTAAATAGCCTCCCCCCGGGTCTAAGGCTTATTGCATTTTTGCCCAAAATCCGAAATATGTTAAAATGCTATCTTTGAAGTCATATTCTAAGACAGCATTTTCTGGTTTTGTCATTCGCTACTGTCCACGATTGATCATTGATCTTTGGTTTTCACATTTAAAAAAAAAAAAAAAAAAAAAAAACTCCTGTTTGCTGTGTTTTGTTCTCCAAATGGTGTTCCAGAAAAGTGTTTCTCTATAAATTGTGGGGAAAGGGTGGAAAGAAGGGCATAGCTTTACTTTTAACCCTAATGTTGGGTTTACTTGGAGTTTTAAATAACGTTAAAGGAGAGGTAAGATTCATATAATTATTAAATGATGGCCTGGGTTTAAAAAAAAAAAAAAAAAAAGCTTGAGAAAGGCCATTCTAAGTCATTTTCTCTGTTGGTTTGTTTTTGGTTCATAATTGTCAGAGTTCATTATGGGCAGGAATAGTCTATATGCAGTATTTGTTTTTCCAGAGCTCAGGAAAACCATTTTATAAAGAACAAAAGTTAAACATGGGAGAGTCATCCTCTTATGTATTCCAAGTTTTCTAGTCTATATCTCATCATGACTTCATAGAGCAAAGCCCATCGCTAGTTGTTACCTCATACCCTAGAACATCTTGTCATGAGTTAAACGCATTATATGTGTCATAAATTCCTTTTATGATAGTGATGTTGAAACCACATGTTTTGACACAATTCTCTCTTACATCCATTTAGTAAATAGAATGCTAAAATCTGAGGTAAATCCACACTCTGTTCTTCTGTAGCTGTACAAAACAATAAACTGAATAAATCTAGCATAATTTATGTTGTACATTTAATGGAAAAATCTTAAGCCATAATCATTGTAGCTGTTGGGCATCTTCTTCAAAATCTCTCAGTGCATGCATTAACTTTGGTTAAATTATTCTGGAGTTAAAAGGCAGGAGAATATTTAAAATAGTATGGTTTCCGAAGCATTATTTTAACAGACCAATTTCAAAAGATTCAGGTGCTAAATTTGACTTCATAGTCCCTTTGTAGATCAGTTACTTAGATCGTAAAAGAGGAGAGAATCATGTGCTGTGATCTGCGTGGTCATTAGTCTCACACAATGAAAGGAAGAGAACAATAAAATAAGACTAAAAAAAAATCATTCTTCCAATGATTGTCATTGAACTGTTACATTAGTAAACATTCACAGTATGAAGTCTCTTTCAATCTCCAGTATATAAAGTAGTGCAAAAGAAAAAAAAAAAAACTCCAGTCCTGTTACCTGTGAAACAAAATTAGTTACATTTTGTCTGACTTCATTTCTTCTATAACGTTAGACATTTGCTGTCAAATCTTCCCCAAATTAATAATAAAATATAATCAATTTCTAAAGGCCCTTGCAGCCTTTTTAAAAGTTAATTTCCAGTTAAAAATAAACTTTAATTAAATCCAAGATAAAACTGTGACCTATATTCTATTAAATAATTTACTTTCTTTTTTTTTCTACACAGTAATTCTTACAATTTTTTTTTTAAAAAACCACTACAGAGTCCAAAGACATTGGAGATGCTATTAAAGCACTGATAAAACAAACTGCTCAAATTCATGAGTTCTTACATAGTAAATACTTCAAAATGCCAACTTTTCCCGTCACTGCACAATTATTAACAAGGTTGACAATTAACTTACACGTACTCTCTCTCTCTCTCTCACACACACACACACACACATTCCCTCCATGGAACCATCATTACTGTTACCATCTTTTCCATTAATGTGCAAAATTCTTGCATTCTAATAAAAAATATAAAGATAGATTTGCTCCTATATAAGCCTCCCTCTTCTCCAGGATGTATCATTTATTTGATATGTAATACAAGTTTAGTAACAAGTATGCCTCGTATAACCATTAAGTGGTATACTACTGTATGCATTGGACTCATTTGCATATTTCATTTTCATAACTGCACTCTCTATGCATAAATATATTTGGAGATGCTGGGGGGGTGCAGTGGCGGGTGGAGAAAGCAATTCACACATCAGTCTCCACAGCCTTTGCGTTAGAACAGTTGTTTTTGTCTGTCTCACTCTCATCTCCCTTTCCCTGACACTTCTCTTCCTTTGCACACAGAGATTCCTTAACTCCTTCTTCCATCTCTAGATACTCTGACTTGTCCCCCAGGGAAGAGGAAGTAGAGCTCCGAAATTTCTTGAGCAAATTAGAAGGGAGGTATGGGCAACTGACTGCGTTCTGCGTCAGCTGTGTCTGTTCCTCATTTTCAGTCTCTCTGTGGTAGAAATAGTTAAAGTTAGAGACAATCACTGGCACTGGCAAAGCAATGGTTAAGACACCAGCAATGGCACACAGGGACCCCACAATCTTGCCCCCCACGGTGATGGGCTTCATGTCCCCATAGCCCACAGTTGTCATCGTCACCACGGCCCACCAAAATGCATCTGGGATGCTTTGGAAATGGGTAGTGGGTTCATCGGCCTCTGCAAAATACACGGCGCTGGAAAAGAGGATGACCCCGATGAAGAGGAAGAAGATGAGGAGGCCCAGTTCCCGCATGCTGGCTCTGAGGGTGTGGCCCAGGATCTGCAGGCCCTTGGAGTGCCTGGAGAGTTTGAAGATCCGGAACACTCGGACCAGGCGGATGATCCTGAGGATGGCAAAGGACATGGCCTGCTGCTGCTGACCGCTGCCACCCCCCTGCTGCTGGGCCAGATCCGTGCCCAGCGTGATGAAGTAAGGCAAAATGGAGACAATGTCAATGATGTTCATGATGTTTTTGAAGAAGAGGGCTTGGCTGGGACACGCAAAGCAGCGAACCACAAACTCAAAGGAAAACCAGACAATACAGACCGTCTCCACGATGAAGAAGGGGTCATTGAAAATCGTGTGCCCTGAGTTCTCCAGGTGGGGTGCCGAGGTGTCGTTCAACAACCCACTGTGCCCACCAGCACTCAGTGCCATGATGAGATCCCTGTCGTCCCTAAACTCAGGCAAGGTTTCCAGGCAGAAGATGACAATAGAGATTAAGATGACCAGTACGGACACAATGGCTATGCCCCTTGCCGGACTGGAGCTCTCTGGATATTCAAAGAGGAGCCAAATCTGCTTTTTAAATTCGTTCTCAGGCAGGGCCCTGTCCTCCTCCTCTCTCACGAAGCCCTCATCCTCCCGAAACTTGAGCAGGGCCTCCTCCCCCAGCTGATAAAACTTCACCTCCTCAGTGAAGATGTCGAAGGGGACGTTGACCGGCCTCTTCAGGCGGCCGCCCGACTGGTAATAATACAAGATGGCATCAAAGCTGGGCCGGTTCCTGTCAAAAAAATACTCATTGCGCAAAGGGTCAAAGTACTGAGTCCTCTTCTCAGGGTCCCCCAACAAAGTCTCTGGAAACTGGGCCAGGGTTTTCATCTGCGTCTCAAAGCGCAGGCCTGACACATTGATCACCACGCGCTCACAGCAGTCACTGTAGCGGACAGAACTGTAGCCGCCGCCGCCCGCGTCGTCCTGGGGCAGCAGGTCGGTGTAGGAACATTCATCGCCGTGGTCATCCTCGCTGTAGTAAAACCTTCCCTCCTCTTCCTCCTCCTCCTCCTCGTCCTCCTCCTCCTCCTCCTCGCTCAGCTCCCGCAGGATCTTCTCCTCCGAGCCGCTGGGCATCAGGTCGGAGCAGTGGGGGAAGCCGCCCTGCCGGTGGTGGGCTTTCTTCTTCTCCGGCCGCTGCCGCCGCCGCCTCCGACTGCCCCGGCTGCTCTGAGGGTCGTGGGAGGTGCAGGCCCCCCGGGACTGATGGTGGTGGTGGGAGCCCCCCCCAGGCCCCCCACTGCCTTCCACGGCAGCCGTGGCAGCCGCGACGGCGGCGGCCGCCGCCGCCCGGGAGTGAGCCAGCCTCTCCCGCTCCCGGGCCCGGGCCTGGGCCGCGTACCCGTAAGGCATGTGACTGTTGCACCCTGAGCTCTCCGCACTCACCATCGCCACCTCCATGGTGGTAGTGTTCGGGAAAGGCTGGTTCCAGTTGTCGAAGAAGAAGAAAGGAAAATAGGGCAGCTTCTTTGCTCACCAAATTAAGGTAAGTGTGGAACCCTTAAGCAGATTGCTTGGAAGACTAAGGATATTTTCAGTCCGACTTTGCATTTTCTGTTTTTAAATCAGCACGCCCCATGCTCTCTCTTCTCAGGGATTCAACATTGCTCTCCAGAGACAAGCAGCCCAGCACCCCCGAGCCCGAGTCAGACGATGTGGGGGTCTCCCAGACACCTGGGTTTTAGAGTAGGTGTTGAAATTGGGAAATATGTCTGAGACGTGGTTGCTGAGGATGCTGCAAGATTCAAAGGCGGCAGGTGTCTGACAGCCAGCGCTTGTGCCTAGAAATATATTTTTCTGCCATGGAAACTGGCCAAAGCTGAGTCCATTAAATTTAAATAAAATGTAAATATGCCTTTAGTCTTAGCACTTGCCTTCTAGAGACGGCTTGACCCATGTTGAGATGTGGTTCGAAGTACACACAGCCATTGCTGCTCAGAGTCTCTCAGGATGATCCTCCAGTCTCTCAAAGGCTTCCTGGACCCAGGGGCAATGCCCAGCTACGGACAGAGGCAAAGACCCTGGGAGGTAAAGAAGGTGCTAGAGGAGGTGTCAGCAGAAGCACAACCAGCTCTGAGGTCTCCATAGAAATCAAGGCAATGCAGAGCATCCTTCGGCTAAAATCATGCAGAAGAAGCACTGCACCTGGAAAGGGATTGAGAACAAGCACAGGAGAAAAATAAAAAGAGGAAACAGATCATATCAAGGCAACTGAGCATTTTAGTTCACACATCCTTCCTTCTCTTGCCTTTAAGCAAATCAGATAACACAAGAGCCACCGCACCTTTTCCAGAGGATGAGGCAGGCTATTCTTACATCTCCTTCTCCCTGGGCAGCCTTCTTGCCTCTTCTTTGGTTATGATTTCAGCTCAGTTTACTTTCATGGCAACTCAGTTATTTTTCCTCTTTCCACTCTGGGTGGAAATGGGCCTTGTTTCTATCTTCCCCGTCACCGAGGCCAGATCTTAATCCTCACTGTCACTCTCCTCGCTCCATAATCATAACGAAGTTAATTTACAGCTGCCTCCGTCGTTCATTTATTTCAAGACATTTAAAAAAAAAATTGCTATCACAAAATGTTTCTGAATTTCTACCCCTCTCTCTCTTAACTCGGGGTTGTGGAAGTCAGCAAAACCAGGTTGGTTGGTTTGTTGTTTGAATACAGAATCTACTACTTAAACAAGCCTTCAGACAGTCTATGAAGTGTGGACAGTAATACAACATCCCTCTTCCCATATTTGTAAGTATTAAATGAGATAATGGGTGTTGCACAGAACGAATGGCAATAGACACTGGCTGCTCTGCGTAACATGACAGAACCCTACGTTTTTATTGTTTATCTACCCAGCCCCAAATGTTTACGGCCTTATGTCACTGTCAGAAACAGAGGAAAGACAGAACATGAGGACATTCAGGACACTGTGAGACTCACCAACGGCCTGTGTTAGGTTGGCATTGCCTGACTCCCTGAAGCATGTCCCTATTGTTTTTCTGTCCTCTGGATTCCTGAACACTCCCAACCACCCACAGCCTAAGAGCTAATCCTAGTTCCTACATCTCTAATAATCATCTCTCTTTGCAATTCCTCCCTGGTCACACTGTTCTCAAGGGACTATCTTCTTATTTTTTGAGTCCCAGTTTGTATGAACTTCATTAGACTCCTTCCCCCATAATTTAATCGACATCTCCCATACCTTTCCCTGTCTCCTCTCTTTCTCTCTCGCTCTTCCTGCCCATCTTTATTTCCTATCTCCCACTTCCTGATCACATGTCCCTTGCAGCCCCAATCTATTCCCACTGTCACCCACCTGGGAATCCTAGCCCTTCTGCATCCCTAGTCTACTCTCCCGAGGTCTAACTAATTCATGTCCTCAGCCAGGACCTATAAAAACCCCTACCCCAATCTCCTGTCTCCTCTTGTTTCTTCATTTCCTCTGTCCAACATAACTTCCAAGAACGCAGGGAGTGACCCAGAGAAATGGAGAGGATGGTGACAGTCAGAATTCAGAGCAGCTACCAGTTTCTATTACTAGAAGCACTTGGAAAGCATCACGGAAAGGGCTTTCTGAAGCCATTAACAGGATTCAACCCTAGACCACCTGCTGCTCCTTGCTGATCATGTCAGCCTAGCAGCCTAAACAAAGTGAATTTTATGAGGTGACAATCATGGAACTGCAAACAGAGGGCTTCCCAGTTGGTTGTACACCCCTTGCCAATCACACACATTCTCCTATGTTCTCCTAGGGTAAGAGGGGAGCTGACTGAGAGACAAACTCCAGAAAACATGCCTCCCATGACATCCCCTTTCCTTTGCCTGAATCCTAGCATCATTTCACAGCCTGAAATGTTGACCCTCAGGGGGGTCTCTGCATTCCTACTTACAAAACCTGGAGTTATACTCAGTGGGAATCTTCAGGCCAACATCTTTTAAAGGTTTGCACAGGCCCAACAGCCTGAGAGTTTGCTCAGTTTCTTCCCCCAACTCCTCCCAAACAGTTATAAAACAGTATTTAAATAAAGCCCCCAGGGCAATCCAAGTGCCTGTGTATTTAAATAATGTACATACTCCCCCCTGCCCAACTGATTCCCAGAAGGAAATGAATTAGAGGATCTTCTAAATCACCACCAACTCCACAGGATATCTAGACCTACCCTTTTTTCTGCTCTACACCATATAAATTTGCATGTATTTATTTATTTAGGTTTGTCAGTTTTGCTTATCTAACTCCCTCATCCACCCTACAAAAAGCAAATTAACTCCTTTTAATTGGCCACCAGTTACCTCATTACCCCCCCCCCCATCAAGAAAGAAAAGAAGAAGAAAAGGAAAAAAAAAATCATTCCTCCTAGCAAACCAAACTGGTTTAACAATCTCTCTTCTTTCTCAAGGTATTTATGTTAGGAGAATCTACTCAAGCTGATTCTCAGGAGCCTCTACTGGAGAGATCTTTACAGGGAAATTCCCCTTCCTCTTTAACACAATTAAACTAATAGGATTTTGCAGGCTACCTATTCCCCAATCGATGCACCCCCAACCAACAGCTAAGCATCCTGCCCCTCCTCCTCTCATCATTCCCCCACCCCAACAACAAGGCTGTTTTCATCCCTCAGTGCTAATTCCCGCAACTGTGTTAGGGTGGTACCTGAACCTTATCTGAGAAAGAGAGAGAGAGAGAAAAAAAAACACAGAAAGAGAAACTGACATAGAGAGAGGGCAGCAGAAAGGCCAACACCGTGAGAAACATACACTTCAAGGCACGCCATTTACACAGCCCCTGTGTGTTGCTCAAATGCTTGGAAAATGCACGCAAATCCAAACGTTGGGAGAGGCAGCATTTCAGACCCGTTCACCAGCTGTTCCCAAAGGGATGGAACCTGTGAGGCTGGGATGAGGCAAAACGATGCTAAATCTTAGCCCCACCTCAAACGACATCTTTAATCGCGCCCTCGCCTCTAGCCCTAGGTTCCCGCTACAGCACCTTAGGTAGAGCGCACTCACCCCTTCCCCAGGGTCGGGAAAATAACAACTGTTGGCCCCCCAGAGCGCCGCGCAGCACCCGCACCTCCCTTCTCCCACCTCCTGGTTTATTTTTAACCGCCTTCCATTCATGCCCTTCTGTCACATTCCCGATATTATTTACCCCCTAAATGTCCACTGTTTCTTCTTAACATCGAAAAGAGGAGGGTGAAGGAAAGATAGGAAAGGTATCATACTCACCGTTCTCCGGTGGGGTGAAATACAAAAATAAAGAAAATTCCTCCGACTGGTTTGTTTTTCCCTCTCAAGCTTCAACAGCTGGAGGAGGGGAAGGATGATCTGGGGGGTTGGGGAGAGAGTGGTAAAAGGAATCACTCCGGTTTGGCAGGTGGAGGCTCCAAAATATCCAAAGAACAAGTTGTGTTCCTGGCCAGGGGGGCACAGTCTTCGCTGCTGGAGCCTGGGGCTGGGGATGGGGCGGCCCCAGGAAAGACCCCGGGACTTCTGGTTCCTCTGGAGTTCAGTACAGGCAGGCTTGCCTGGGAAAGGAAGTAAAGGTTCCCCCGAAAAGAAGCAAAATCCTAGACAGCAGCGATCACTTGTTAAGCCCGAATGCCTCCTCCAACATCCATCCTCTCGCTCTCCCGCTGGCTGCTGGAGCAGCACACGCCTCCCCTGGCCGCGACGCGCCGGGCGGGGGCGGGGCCAGGGCCGTGCCGAGGGTGTGGCGTTCCCCGCAGTAGCCGGGAGCGCCTCGCCGCGCTCGGGGCGGGTGCAGTCACGACGCCGCGACTCCCCGCCCCCCGGGAGGGCCCCTGGATCGCCGAGCCCCGGGAACTGTTCCAGGAGCTCTGGGCCATCGCCCCCAGAGGCGAGGAGCAAGTCCCAGAGAAGGGTCCCCTTTGGAGCAGTAATAGGGGTTCCGACGACAGCTTAGGAGACCCCAGGGGGCTTGGGAGGGAGGAGAAGTTCGACGGGTGGGGCAGTCCCCCAAACCGGGTCATAGGGGGCATCTTCTCTCTCTGACTCGCTTTCTCTACCTTTCCCCTGGCAGCCGGTCCTCCTCTCCCTCCCAAATTGGGTTTGTGGGGTTAGGGCCCCGGTACATCCCTGGCGAGGCAGCGGGGCGCGAGCGCTTCCTTCGCCAGGCTGCGGGTCCTCCTCCCTCCGTCTCCGCCCGAAGTTGATTGGCCTCTGGGGCGCACAGGGAACCGACTTCATCATGATTGCGACCCCTGTGAGGGGAGAGTTGCAAAAACTAGAATCAGACCCAGACTAGGGGCAGCGCACAGGAGGCAGAATCTCCGAGGGGTGGAGAGCGGGTGTGGGGGGGGGTGGTGAGTAGGTTTTGAAGGGCGGGCTGGTCGCTAGGGGCTTTGGAAGGAGGAGCCCTTCACGAACCTGTGATGGCAAAAAGAAATGCCACTGGGCGAGAGGTTTGACTCCGGGAGGTGTCGCTCGTCGTGGCCGGAACTCTACCCCTGGCACTTCCATTTAAAGCAAAAAAGTAATCGGGCGGGCAAGTGCTCCGGCAGAGGCGTCCCCACCTGGGGACGGAATCACAGGTTGCTTATTATGTGGCTGGTTTGTGAGATGCCTCAGGGCTTGGGTGTAAATATGCAGTTTCCACAAATCCACTAAAAGAAAGGTTAGCAGCAGTGGAAACGAAACGACATACACAGACGCTCAGGTGGTGACCAAGTAGGTCTCCGGACACTTCTTCTAGATCCCCAGACGGGCCAGTGGAGCGGTGGCGGCGCACGCCGGGACTGCTGGAGCAAAGACGACCGACCTTGGGCTGCCTGGTTGGCACCTGGGCGGCCAGTGTCGTCCTCAGCCAGCAGCTTTGTTCAAGGGCCCTATTGGGCCTCCTCCTTTTGTGGCGGTCAATTAATTATTAAAGGAAATATTCCCGAGCTGAATTATAGATATGCCCTGTGCTCGCACTCCCAACCACCGTTGGCACAGTGAAGGACGCCTGGAGGACTGCTTTGTGTTGCTGTTTGATTTTTCCTTTATCTTTTTAAATAACTAAAAAGAATTTGTTTTTTAATTACGATCGGTAAGAAGAAAAGAAAGACGAGGAGGGAAAACATTAAAAAAAAAAAAAAAAGAAAAAGAAAAAAGAACCTGGCGCGGGTCCTAATTTCCTAACTTCTTCTAGCTAGCGCGGGTTGAACTTCTGGCCTGGGTGTATTCACCCGTGATCCCCTGGCTCCAACCGTGGTGGAGGAACTGAGAGCAAGGTAGCTCCACGCTGGCTCCAGAGAGGCTCTTCGCCTTAATTCATTCCCTATTATAATTCATTCCAGCAAGTAGAGAGGGCGGATTTCTCCAAACGTGCAAACGTTCATGTGCGCTGGCACAGAACAGTCTCTGTACCTCCACAATGTGATGTAATCACTGTGCAGTTTCATCCCCCCCAGAAGCACGGAACTCCTATTTATGACTGGCTCATCAGAAGGATCTTTCTTGGGATGGCAAAAGGCGGGACTGAGGGCACAGGATCTTGGGACCAGTTTCCCAAAAGCAATTTGTAGATCAATCCGGAGCAGCTATGGAATGCTTTCAAGAAGATGAAAAATGAGATTGAATGATGTATTAACGATGACAGTTATATTGAGGCTTGGACGTTTTAATTGGATCATGTTAAAACTTTATGAATTAGACTTCCCTGTGCCATTTACTGTTTGTTCCTGTCATGGCCCTGAGAATATTAAAGTTTAACATGCCTAAGGACTTTTTAAATATTTGCATTTCTTAGGTATGAGGAATTTGAATTACTACAGCACAGGAAAAACTACTCTCATGAAAATATGTATTCATTCAAGTCATAGGAGTAATACTTATAGTAATAATACTCAATACTATATGGAGTAATATAAGGCAGGTCATATTAATTGAGTGTCCACCTAGTACCTGGCTCTGTACTAAGGTCTTTAAAAGTATACTAATTTTAACTAAACTCTTTATATGGTAGGTGCATTATTACCACTATTTCATAGGGAAGGAAATTAAGGCTTGCAGTAGTTAACTTGCCCATAGGTAACAGAGCTAATTATGTAGCATAACTAGAAAGAGGAAAAGAGAAGGAAAGAAAACTGGGAACAGCCCAGTTCCCCAAGGTGCCAATTGGTGCTTGGTCAGTCACCTCTGTCCTCTGGGCTGCTTAGTCCCATTTTCCAGAGGAAAGAAGGAATGTAAACATTGTCAATAACTAAGGCAAAATGCAAAGTTTTCTTAGTAATTATTCCCCCAGCAAATGACTTGATTCCAGCCTGGGAAGCAAGCAATGTAAAGTTAACCGGTATATTATTAAGAAAATGCCAGCAAAGATACAGAAATGAAAAGTATGCACACCCGTGTTCATCATTTGTACAAGGGTGCTAATTAGCTTTCTTGCTGTCTTTTGGAGGCAGCTTCTTAAACAGGTACTTGAGATCTTTTACAGCAATGGTTTTCAACCTTCCTAAGGCTGCAAGCCTTAATACAGTTCCTGTGGGTTGTGACCCACAGGTTGAGAACCGCTGCTTTACAGGTTTCAAGAATAAACTGCTTTTTCTGAGCAGGTCTATTTATTAGGAGAAGTGAAGGTTTCATTCTAGAGACACTATCCAGCTTTACAGAGGTCAGAGCAGCCAGAATAACCTAGTAAGAGCCTTCCATTTCTGGGTTCGTTGCTTCCCCAGACAGCCTTCTCACCATGTTTTGAGCAGGACCTGCACTGGCAGGGACTCAGTAGTTTGAGGCCTCCTTATCTGGTAGAGGCAGCACGCTATGACCACACTCTGCAATTAATTGATAACTTATCTTGAATTAATAATGTACTTTAAAATCTGATTTAAGTCTATTCAATAGGAAACCTGTTTTGAGAAATGGTCATTTCTAAAGGGCTGAGTTTTAAGTTTCCCTTTGGGGTAACTCTCATTCTAAGGCAATTGGGGGAGCTGATCTACCAGTCCTGAGTATCTTGACAACTTCACCAACTTAACTTCTTTTAAAAATCTGGTTCATTCTCTCGACTTTCCTAGAAGATTCAGGATGGCAAGAAGAGTGAAGTTTGGGCGTGTGTACCAAGGCTGCCTGACAACTCCTGAAGCCCAAACCTAGGAATGATTTCTTTTAGCAACCACTTGCAAACTCAAGTGTTTTTTTTTTTTTTCTTCTCATGTGTGGAAAACTTCTACCCAGCCTGTATACATGTCTATGAAAGCCAAAGATATTTGAACCCACCCTTAGGGAATGTCTGTGTCAAATCAGTTTGCCAATCTCAGGCATAGTTCCTGCTGTGCAGCACTGGGGTAGTTGGAGACAAGGCCAGTGGATGGGCCAGAGGACTGATTCGAAGGCAAATTTCACGTATGTGAGTTACCTGGTCCACTATGACCTTTTCAGTTTTATAGGAGATTTTGGATAAAATCCCTTAGTGAGTCTCTCCCATAATGCATTGCCCTCTGATGATTTTTCATTGGCTATGAAGGCAAGGTGGAGGGCTCTATTACAAGGACCAAAGTATCAACTTGTCCCTTCCATGCTGCCTGTTTGGTAGCTCTATCAGCTTGATTGTTTCTCTGGCTGATCAAAGAATTACTTTTCTGATGCCCTTTGCAGTTTGTAATAACTATTTAGGCAGGGAGCTGGACTGCTTCAAGAAGAGACTCAATCACCTCCTTATGTTTTATGGGGGAGCTTCTAGCAGTTAGCATTCCCCTCTCTTTCTTGACAGCTGCGTGAGCATGGAACACCAAGAATCCATTCTTAGAATCAGTATATATATTGAGCCTTTTTCCTTTCCCAAGCTGAAGAGCCCTAGCCAATGCTCCAAACTCTGCTTCTTGAGCTAAAGTGTTTGGGGGAAGTGTTTTTGCTTCTACAGTCTGGTTTGGACAAACAGTAGCATAACCTGCCCTCTGGAATCCATCCATTGTCTGTAAACCATTCTTCATCAGAGTTGTTTAAGGGGGAGTCCTGCTGATCCATTCAGACAAAATAGGTCTATTCTCTACATGGGTGTGCACCAATGTCTCAGGATGGGCCTTGGAAGCAAAGTGGTAGGACTCAGAGTCTGACATACCTTTACAGTCAAATCTGGGGTGTCAAATCTGGGCTTGGGATTGAGTTAGTCTACCTCCAGTTACTTAATGGTTCCCCTTTATTTCCAGCACATTTCAGACCTGGTGAGGAGTATAAACCTCAAGGGGCTGGCCTAGTGTAAGTTTAGAGGGTTTTTTAACTAATAGGCCACTGGCTGCCACTGCTCCGAGGCAGCAAGGCCACCACTGAGCCACCAGGTCTAATCACTTTGAGAAATAAGCCACTGGCTTCTGGACAGGCCCTAGTTTCTGGACTAGAACCTATAGGGCTTGGCTCGACCTCTCGTGTGAAGAAAGAAATAAAATGTTTCTGTAAATCCAGGAGTCCCTGGGCAGGAGCCCACCAGCGCTCAGACTACGGGGTTTCATGGACTTGCTGGCAAGCCTCATCCCACTGAAACAGTTCCTTTTCTCCACCCCTGAGTGCATTATAAAGGCATTTGGCAGTGAGACCAAAGCTTAGCATCTGAATCCAGCAAAAGCAGCCCTTCCTGGGAATCCTTGCATCTCCCTTCTACTGCTGGGAACCAGTGATGAAGCAATGGCCTGCTTCTAGTCTGAGACAAACATTCTAGCTCCTGGAGTATTTATGCACCTCAGATACTAAACCTCTATGAGATCTGGGCCTTTGAGGAGGAGATCTTCTATGCCCAGTGAGCTAAAAAATTCAAGATCTTCATAGTGTTTTCTGAAT